TAAGACACGCAGTATTATCCATATGACAGGCACTAATATTTACATATACACTTGAACCTGTGTGTACAGGATTACATGGAGATGCAACGGAACTTATTCATGGATTTATTGGCGCATGAAAGAAATGGATATCAGAGAATTCTTTCTGCCGATATAAAATATTATCTTAGCCATATCACGAAAAAGTCTATACAGTAGAGTTTGTGAGCCTACAACGTCGCACTCTCCGTGACTGTGTTAATTCCACGAACTTTGCCTTTTGAATTAAATGTCACTTTAACGTTGGTATTTAATTTAATAATATTGTTATCTTATCACGCGATCCGTGTGTTTTTAGTACAAAAGATTTAGTTGTCCCTGTAGCAACGCACCGGCACGTTATACAGTAATTTGGAAGCTGTTAACACATTTTGGTTAGGAAATAATCAACTGGGCTTCGATCGCTTCTCGGCCCAGCGCTAGCGGCCCAGCCTACTAGTTGGTCGGTCGGTCGAGGTCCACGCAAAAATGGGAGGCAGTTTGGGAGGTTTGATAGCGTTCCGATCGGGTCTCTCTCACTGTGCATATGCCCTTTCAGTTTCAGGATAGTGACGGAAAGCGCGGTGGTGACATGCACGTACACAGGAACGAACGCTTGGAAGTTGGAAGAGACTCCTCGCGGGTAAACCATGACTATAGCCGACCCATCACGTGTCGCTGGTGCCACCGCCCAAGCGGCCGAGTCGTCGTATGGGCGCATAGCCTTCTTCACGCCGCGCTGGTCAATTCTTATCCTCGATTGTTTTTATTTTTATTAATTATTATACCATATACTACTCCCGCGGTAGACCGACCGGGAGGTGTCCAAGTTGGTTACTCCTAATCGCCGCCATCGACCGTGTGCGTGCGCGTGGCACATGCATATGTCACTTTCAACGGATCCGTGCTCTATCGCCACCTAGCACTAGCACCGGCCAGCAGCGGCGCGTCCGTCCGCCCACCCACCGGGCGCTCTCTCGGTCGTTACCTGCTCGCGCGCGCGCGTAGTACGTTGTCGCACCCGGACTGGACAGCTCGGCGTGGCAAGTGGCGGGCGGCCCAGCGCGGCAGCGCCCAGGCGTCCTGCTGCTCCACCACGCCGCATGCCTTCGCGCGCAAGGCATGATGCAGCATCGCGTCGGCATCGTCGTCGCTGGCCGCCGCCCACGAGACGTCGTGTCTAGGTTCTTCTGGACGGAGGGAGTACGTACGCGAGCACCGCAGCCGCGAGCCAGCGACGTGCCACGGCGGCGTGTGCGGGCCCCACTTATCCGAACCTAGCTCCCTGCATCCGTGGCACGTTTCTGGATAGGGGTACTGACTGTGGACAAACACTACTGTACTGGCTGCACGGCATTGCTAGTACGGAGTACTACGTATACGACGACTCTGCGACACGCGACCTCTAGTAGCTTTTGTAGGTCGCTGCCGATGGAGACGTGTGGAGGTAGAGAGGGAGGTCGGTGACATAAACACACGGTTTTTATTTGGTCGGTGACGCTAGCTGGCCCGGTGATCTGCTCCCTATGCACATGTGTACACCTGCAAACCCTGCACGTATACGGTGCTGGTTGGCACAACACGCGGCTCCATCGGTCCACCGTCGCCGCAACAGAATAGGTTCTTCTCCGTTGCCTTTTTCGTTCCCCGAGTCGGTTGTGTGTCGTGTTGTGTGTTAACTGTCTGTCTGCGACGGGTCACCTACCGACTTGCTGCACCTGCGGACAGGGCCGGCCGGTCGCTCCACTCCTTGCCACAATGCATGTGGCTCGTTGGAAAGCTCCCCGGCGTGGCTTCATCTGCCATTACACTTTAACCATTTCTATTTCTATATTATATATTGTGTATAACTATAAGATGATTGTTAAATAGTACTCTCTCCGTCCTAAAATAGGTGTACATCTCGCACTTCAATGGATCAAAGAATATCAAGTTTAATCAAATTTATAGAAAATAGTATTAACATATGTCTCTAAACAAGATTTGTATGAAAATACATGATGTGATTAATCTACTAATGGTTGTTTGATATTATAAATCCTAGTATTTTTCTATATAGATTTGGTCTAACTTAAATTTGTTTGACTCCTCAAAGTACGAGATGTGCACTTATTTTGAGACGAGGGAGTATATTTAATTAAAATTCTAATAGTAGTAAGTGTTAATTACAATGGTTAAAAAATATTGGCGAAGTGTTAATTAAAATTCTAATACAGCCAGCCTGCCGAACAGTATCTTAATTAGTGAATGGAGCCGAGAGTGGTTTGTTTAATATATGTTGTTTAGAAGATGGGTACATCGATTACTCATAGAGTCATAGTCATAGGGAGATTAAGATATAGATTTTCCCTCTCAACTGGGATCCATACAGTCATACTCCTCAGTTCTAAATTGTTCATTTCGGTTTCATCTCAATTTTTTTCTTAATTTCAACAAGTTTATAGAATAGTGTACTAACATATATAACATCAAATTTTTAACTAAACTAGAAAAGGAGTTTGATTTAGAACAAAATCAAAGCTACTCCCACCATCCCACAAAACATGTAATCCTGTAGTTTAAATCATGTATCAAAATTCACGTAATCCTAGAGCCTAGGTTGTCTTTTCATATGGACCCAGCAATAAAAAAAACATTGTACCTTTGGAAAACCAACCTATCCCTGTTATACTTTAAAGGAACATTCTAGATTGCTCTTGAGTTCTAGCACATGAGAAGAAAGGTGTAGGAGGGGCACATGCATAATTTCACACCTCCACTAAACTTGCCTTAAAAAGTGAGATTTACATGTTTTGTGGAGACGGAGGGAGTATTTTTCAAAACAAAGGAATTACACTCATTATTATTTCGATCGCTCAAAGAGTTATTCATTTATATATATACTCCCATCATCTATACAAGAATTTAATTATCTATTTTCTTTTTTTTACCAAATAATTATCTTTTTCTTGAAAAAAGAATAACTTAATTATATTTTTTGATGAGTCAAATGATTTAAAGTTTGACCAAAATTTAAAAGAAGTACTAAAATTTATGATATAAAATAAGTACTATTAAATTAGGTATAAAATATATTCTCATAGTAAATCTAGTTGGACACATAAATATTAATATTATTCACTTTAAACTTGATCAAAGTTAAGTTATTTTGACTTGCACAAATTAATCCCATAGTTGCATTTTTTATAGATGAAGGGAGTACTCTAACACCAGGTCACTAGCGTGATGACAATACGAATATCATATTTTTGCAATCTTTTAAACAACAAACACACTACCAGCGAGATACTCCATTCGACTGCACGTATTTGAGAATTCAAACTTTATTATCTTTTATTAACAATTAGCCTAATCATATGAAAAAAAATTATCCTACAAAGTAGTTACAAGAGCCGCAGCGGCTGCAGGTGCAATAAGTTTCTTCTATAGTAGTTTTTATACAGTACATGCAGTTCGAAAGCTACAGAAACATCTACAAGTACTACAGTGGACACTCACATTAGATTGGTATTTAGAAATACTTTCTAATTATTAAACTATTTCTCAAAATTATACTATCTTCTTTTTAAATTATAAGTCGCTTTGATTTTTTTGATACATCGATTTTGTTATGTATCTGGATATAACATGTTTTTTTTTGAATTAGATATAATATGTTTAGATAAATAGCAAAATCGATGTAAAAAAAACTCAAAAGCGACTTGTAATTTAGAACGGAGAGAGTATATTATAAGAAAAGTTATCGGTCAAAAAACGCAAAAATATGTTCTCGAAGACGTTAAATCACGTCTTATATTTTTGAGATAGATGGAAATACAGCGAACAATAAATAAAGGAGAAAAGAAAAGGAGTGATCGACCGTGCCTTTGTTGGACACGCCTGGCCCACGGCCTGTAGACGCGGAACCGTCCAGAATTGTGGCGGATCTGGTGGTCCACGTTTTAATAATTTTTTTTTCCGATTCTATCTACAAACAGTATGTTCGCTTGCTCGTAAATAATCGTAAATTTTCAGTCAGAAATAATATTTTTCTCTCACACCAAACCAACCAACAACAAATAATCCACGATATGATACGGCCTCGAACAGGCTGAAAGTCAAGCAAACCCGAAACGTATTTAACGCACCCGGTTACCGTGGCCATCGGACGCCACAAGTTGACGTGATTTTAGCGCTACGAAGACCACGTGTCGCATAGCATGGGACCGGCTCGGCTGTCGACCACTCACAATTTCTTGAAGCCCGAGCTTGCGCACCAATGGGCCCGGCCAGTCTCTGGCTGCTGCTGCCTGTTGCGAAAAACTGAAAAATCCCCATTCGAAGAAAGAAATAAAAAAAGATTTTGGAAGTGCTAGCGTTTCCTTTTATGGTTATGGGACACATCTACTGTTTGCTCCCTTCCAGACGCAAAACAACAAAATTTCGTTCCAACAATAATCGTCTTTTCTTTAAAAAAAAATCAATTCTAGCTTTTGAACGTAAACATGACCGTGTGTCTAGATTCAGAGCTAGAATTATGTTTCTTAAACAAAGGAGCAGGAGACAAAATCCACGCCTACTACTAGCATATATATATATCCACGTATATGGAGCTGCATTAGCTAATATCCAAACTTAAAGGATTTCGTGATATGTAAATCTCGCCAAATTTGCACAACAAAATCTCAAAGCAGATACTTAATCTGCCATTTACTGTGCGCGTGGATCAAGAGGAATGGAAACAAATCTCTGGCCATCACATGCCATGGCAACGCGAACGCTATCTGCTATTGATGACACAAAATTTGGAGTAATTCCAAGAAGATATATTGAGCAAGGCCACGTGCACACGGACACTGAGGTTTCGCAAACAATAGCGCGATTAAAAAAAAGGCGCGGATTAATTAGCGGCCGAAGCTTCGCCACACACAATTCGGTCGGTGAAAATTCTGTTCTATATTTATGCGCTTGAAATTACACTTTATTGGACGACGGGTTCCATCATGGGCCCACACGAAATCTCTATAAAAAGAGTCCCAATAGGCCGTCAAGGTTTCCGCAAAGCACCAAGCTTTAGCACCAGGCAAACCAACCAAACACTAAACCAACGCAATTCTCTAGAGCGCACTAGATCGCCAACAAGCCAAGGCCAGAGCCAGTGCCATCGCCATGGCTCCCAACCTCAGCAAGACGACGCCTGCTGGCCTGCTCGGCGGCGACGAGGTGGCCCCGGTGGAGGGCCTGAAGCCGTCACGGTTCACGCTCAAGGGCAAGGACCTGGCCGTGGACGGCCACCCGTTCCTGCTGGACGTGCCAGCCGACATCCGTCTCACCCCGGCGTCGACGCTCGTGCCCGCCGCGGCCGCCCCCGCGGCGTCGGCCGGCGACGGCAACTTCCTCGGATTCGACGCGGCGGAGTCAAGAGCCGGCACGTGGTGCCCATCGGCAGGCTCCGTGACATCAGGTTCATGAGCATCTTCCGCTTCAAGGTGTGGTGGACGACCCACTGGGTGGGCGACAACGGCAGGGACGTGGAGAACGAGACGCAGATGATGGTGCTCGACCGCTCATCCGCCGGCGGTAGCGGCGGCGGGCGTCCCTACGTGCTGCTGCTCCCCATCATCGAGGGCTCGTTCCGGGCCTGCCTCGAGGCCGGGAAGGTGGATGACTACGTGGACCTGTGCGTGGAGAGCGGGTCGTCGGCGGTCCGCGGCGCCGCGTTCCGGAGCGCGCTGTACCTGCACGCCGGCGACGACCCGTTCGAGCTCGTCGCGGACGCCGTCAGGGTAGTCCGCGCGCACCTGGGCACGTTCCGGACCATGGACGAGAAGACGCCGCCGCCGATCGTGGACAAGTTCGGGTGGTGCACGTGGGACGCCTTCTACCTCAAGGTGCACCCGGAAGGGGTGTTGGAGGGCGTGCGCCGCCTGTCCGACGGCGGGTGCCCGCCGGGGCTGGTGCTCATCGACGACGGCTGGCAGTCCATCTGCCACGATGAGGACGACCCGGCCAGCCGCGAGGAAGGCATGAACCGCACCTCCGCCGGCGAGCAGATGCCGTGCCGCCTCATCAAGTTCCAGGAGAACCACAAGTTCCGGGAGTACAAGCAGGGCGGGATGGGCGCGTTCGTGCGGGAGATGAAGGCGGCGTTCCCGACCGTGGAGCAGGTGTACGTATGGCACGCGCTGTGCGGGTACTGGGGCGGCCTCCGCCCCGGCGCACCCGGACTGCCGCCGGCCAAGGTGGTGGCGCCCAAGCTCTCCCCGGGACTTCAGCGCACCATGGAAGACCTCGCCGTCGACAAGATCGTCAACAACGGCGTCGGGCTCGTCGACCCCAAGCGCGCGCACGAGCTCTACGAGGGCTTGCACTCCCACCTCCAGGCCTCCGGCATCGACGGCGTCAAGGTCGACGTCATTCACGTAAGTCTTCTTCGCCTGTTCTTTTTTGTTAATCGTTGCTAACTACTAGATTATTAGCAGAAGATTACGCAGGGAAACCTTCCTTTTGGTCGAAGTAGTTTTTTTTTCTGTTTCCATTTAATTTAATTGGTGCACGTGACTGGGTGCATCCGAGAGGTCTCTGGATGCGCCCGGCCCGGCAGGCCGCAGGCCAGGATCCAACGAGTGGGGGACACAAACACTAAAGTACTGGTACTATTTTTTTTTAAAAAAACTCTTCGGGATAATTCTACTAGGTCTCACTTTTCTTACTTCGTGGGCCCTGCGCTCCTGTCCACAGTCCATATGAGTTCTGGAACATCCTGTACTACAGAGTTCTGTAATAATTGGTTTATGCTGTTGAATTGCAGTAGTTCGTTAGCTATTTGACTCTATTTAGGCCACTACTAGATTGAATTAGGGCATGTCATGGATTTTATAGCCTAAGATTATCACAGGTTGGCTTAGGCCTAATTTGGAAACTCTAATCACTCCGGGATCTGGACTTTTTCGTGGTGTATAATCCATGAGGATATCGTTCTAAAATAGCCCTTAAGGTCACAGTAAATCTTAAGCCTGTGTTTCATTGCTGCCATAGTTTGGTCTTCCTAACTTGTTAGTCACCCGCTAGGCAACTCGCAACAAACTCTCAGTACAGTCTTTTTTCTGAACATTTTGGGACACTTATTACAGTGGAATATTCCAGAAATGCATTTTTCTCTTGTATCGTACGGACTATATACCCCCAGCAACATTTGTGGTGGTTGTGTTGCCGCATCGTGGGCTAATAATTTCTGAACGGGACGTGATAGAGAGGCTTGCTTATTTCGTTTTCATGCAATCGTTTCATTACTAATTAATTGTGCATGAAATTGAAACCAATTGACAGCAGACATTTTCTTATTTTTTTTTACAATGTTTGCTGCAGTTTTATTAGATGATAGAAAAGAGCAAAAACGTAACAGTTTCTGATTACTAATTAACTGTGCATGAAATTGTAACCAATGACAGTAGACAGTTTCTTATTGCTAATTAATTAATTGTGCATGAAATTGAAACCTTATCCGCGTGTTAATCCAATTGACAGTAGACAGCTTCGGACGCCATCAGTAATTAGTATAATCCTTTTCATCCGGGAATCCAGTACCTATTTGACAGGTGACAGATTGCCAGTTTCGTAACGATGGTTGTATGTGTGTGCTTGTTGGTGCAGTTGCTGGAGATGCTGTGCGAGGAGTACGGCGGCCGCGTTGAGCTGGCCAAGGCCTACTTCGCCGGCCTGACGGCGTCGGTGCGTCGGCACTTCGGCGGCAACGGCGTGATCGCGAGCATGGAGCACTGCAACGACTTCATGCTGCTGGGCACGGAGGCGGTGGCGCTGGGCCGCGTGGGCGACGACTTCTGGTGCACGGACCCCTCCGGCGACCCCAACGGCACCTTCTGGCTGCAGGGGTGCCACATGGTGCACTGCGCCTACAACTCGCTGTGGATGGGCAACTTCATCCACCCGGACTGGGACATGTTCCAGTCCACGCACCCCTGCGCCGCCTTCCACGCCGCCTCCCGCGCCGTCTCCGGCGGGCCCATCTACGTCAGCGACTCGGTGGGGCAGCACGACTTCGCGCTGCTCCGCCGCCTGGCGCTCCCCGACGGCACCGTCCTCCGGTGCGAGGGCTACGCGCTGCCCACGCGCGACTGCCTCTTCGCCGACCCGCTCCACGACGGCCGGACCGTGCTCAAGATCTGGAACGTGAACCGCTTCGCGGGCGTCGTCGGCGCCTTCAACTGCCAGGGCGGCGGGTGGAGCCCCGAGGCGCGGCGGAACAAGTGCTTCTCGGAGTTCTCGGTGCCCCTGGCCGCGCGCGCCTCGCCGGCCGACGTCGAGTGGAAGAGCCGCAAGGCGGGGCCCGGCGTCAGCGTCAAGGGCGTCTCCCAGTTCGCCGTGTACATGGTCGAGGCCAGGACGCTGCAGCTGCTGCGCCCCGACGAGGGTGTCGACCTCACGCTCCAGCCCTTCACCTACGAGCTCCTCGTCGTCGCCCCCGTGCGCGTCATCTCGCCCGAGCGGGCCATCAAGTTCGCTCCCATCGGTCTCGCCAACATGCTCAACACCGCCGGCGCCGTTCAGGTGTTCGAGGCCAGGAAAGACGCGGGCGGCGTCACGGCAGAGGTGTCCGTGAAGGGCGCCGGGGAGCTGGTGGCGTACTCGTCGGCGAGGCCCAGGCTCTGCAAGGTGAACGGCGAGGAAGCCGAGTTCGCGTACAAGGACGGCATGGTCACCGTCGACGTGCCGTGGTCGGGGTCGTCCTCGAAGCTGTGTCGCGTCGAGTACGTCTACTGAGCCGGACGGGCGCATGACTCTGCTCCCGCACCATTGCCCTGCTTAGGCCGCAATAATCAAATGTTTAGAGCTCATCAAGTTTTACAGCTCTAACAGTTTAATTTTGTTTGTTTGCTCTTTCTTTTGTAAGAATTCTTATGGTGTGAATTAATGAGTGCTTTCTTCTAATTTTCTGATTACTTCTGAATTGAGCACTGCATGAATACACTGTAGAAGATAGTGCCCGTGAATGCGTATTATGCAGAATAAAAAATTCTGCTGTTCCGCAGAAGTGCAGATACGTTGACAAGCTGAAGTAGCAACAATGGCAAAGGCTGATTTCCTTTTTAAAAAGCAAACTTCAGACGAAAATCCAAGTCTCAAAATTAGCGCAAATTGGTAGGCAAACAAAAACATGAAATAATTTGCATATTTCAAATATCCACCATATATTTCAAATAATTTGCATCAAGAAACGCTGAATTTAGAGTTCTAAATAGCATGTCAATCTCTCTGTCATATAGACAAGCCGATTCAGGCAGCCACGTCATTCACGCTAAAAATATGTTCATGCTGCTCGACTTGGACTTTTTCCCATTGGAAAACGTCGATGAGCATACTGGCCATTTTCAGCTTACCTTATAATCCATGTTATTTAGCTTGTTTTTTAAGTTGGAACAGTATTTTTCTCTCCCAACAATTCAGCCAGAACAGTGTTTTTTAGCCAATTCAATCAAGTTTCAGCAAGCCGAACAGGGCCACTGAGGTTCCATCAATCCTTATGGTTATTTATTTTTCCAAGGCTCAATGCTACAGATGTAAATACTCCAGAGTGGAAATTCTCCAAAATGATTCATGATGCAAAAATCAAATTCTCTGATCACTCTATGGATGGACAGTACAGTACAGGCGGTTCGTTACTCTAAGAGCATCTTCAAGAACCTTTCTAAATCTCACTCTTTAAATAATCATTTGGAGAGTCATTTGTATAAGTTTTCTATATCTTTTCACGCTCCAACAGTTTTTCTATATCTCATGCACACTTTATAGAGCCATTTTTGTCTTCTAAATTTGGCTAGCGAAAAATCCGGAATAGAAGATGTCTATATTTAAATGACCATTTATAAAAGCGGTTGGAGAGATTTTTTACCAAAATTTCTATTCCTAGAATTTAGGAAGGATATTGAGAGTGTTTTGGATATGCTCTAACGTTGATATTGGTTAGGCTACACAGCTATGTAAATTTTTTGCTTCCCATGGATGGGCTTCTATCTGAGGAATGGTCAATAACATTAAACTTCTTTTTTATTATGATTTGTTCTTCACCATTTAATGGTGAAAGTATACTCTCGTGTGAGCCAATCTTGTAATAATGTTGTACTTATCCTTCTTCCATTGAAAAAGGAGAAGCGAGAACATTCCCTCCATTACCTATAGTAGCAAACAGGAGCCCAGATCCAGCCCAGGTGTCTGCCCAAATTAGGCCCAAGTAACACGCGGATTGCAGAGCTGGAGGCCCGGAGCAAAGCGAACCGACTCGCCATTCCGTCCCGTCTCTCCTCGCCTCCTTGTCCCATCCGGATTCTTCTTCCGCTCCCCTTCCCCTTCTCACCTCACCACCATCTCCAGCTCCCTCCGCACCCAGCTCTCCACCAACCGACGCGGCGAGGAGATGAACGCGTCGCAGTTCATGGACAAGCAGATCCTCGGCCTCGCCGCCTCCGCCTCCCCCTTCGGCGGCGGCGCCGGGGGCGGTGGGGGTGTGGATCTCAGCGATCTGATGATCCCGATCCCCCAGGAGGACAGCGAGGACCGCCTCCGTCGCCGGCGTAGCAGCAGCAGCGTCAACGGGACGGCAGACGACATGCTACCCAGCTACGACTTCCAGCCCATCCGCACCGGCGGCGGCGCCGCCGCCCCCGCGCCCCAGGCCTCGTGGGGGTCGCTCGACTCCAAGGCACCCTCCGCTTCAGCCGCCGCCTCATATAACCTCAAGGTATGACCCCCGCTTTTCTGGTCGGTGGTGGTACTCCCGCTAGATCTCCCGAGTCCCGATCTCGTAGTGCTCTGTGGCTATTTGCTGAGTCGAACGCAGGTTCCGAACTTTTTATCCCTGTATAGGTCATCACTTCATCAGGCGAGTAGTTTGGTTAGAGAACTTTTAACTCGTAATCACTGTTGAGATTTGCAAATTGCAATTACTTACTGGTTGTGTACTCCATATGTTAATGTGTTTTCGTAATCGAAATGGGATGGATGAGCAGAGAAGACCGACCATTTTTTGTAGCCGGTTTCAATTGAGTGAACATAGTCAACTGATAAACTTAATCGCATGCAGCCCACACCAAAGACTCATGTGAAGTATAGTTTGAATGATTATCTTGTGATACACACTAACGTCTCAATGTTAGTCTGTTAGATAAAGGGTCTACGAAGACATATGGGAATTTAAATGTTCTTATATTGATTGTCACAATGTCGCTAGTAAATCAGTGCTGTCAAATTGTGTTCATGGTTTGTTTCTGCCAGAAACTACACATATTTTTGTTGATAGACTGTTATAAGATATTGTACATGGACATCTGGATAGCTTCACCTACTGTTCCCTATTTAAACTAAGCACACCCGAGCTGTACATGGTTCCCCATTTCTTCCATCTAACAAGTTACCTATACTCTTCACACTTTTTCAGCCAAGTTCAATTACATAGTTATCTATACTCTTCACCCTTTATCAGCCAAGTTCGATTGCATTGTGTAATGCTTAATTAGTTATTACTGTGATTTAACTTTACCGAGTATCAGCTATCTATTGATATGTGCAAAACAGGCGTCCGTTCCAGTTTTTTTTTGGCTTGTAAAGTCATATCTATTTATATAATTGAAGCATGTGCGTGCACCGTGTTTCTTTGAAAGACCAAGTTAACTGTTCATCATTGATGGTTCAAAACTTTAAAGTCGTGACATCAATAACCTCTCCTTTATTATATACTTACAATCTTTCTTATGTTGGATAGAGTGCTGGTATATTGGAGCCACATGTGCTGAAGAAAGTTAGTCATGAGGAAGACAGGAGTAACTTCCCTACAGTTACTATCGCAGATATTGATCGAACCATGAAGAAGTACTCTGATAACCTTTTGCATGCACTGGAAGGTGTAAGCTCAAGGCTTTCACAGATGGAGGGTAGAACACACCAACTAGAAAACTCTGTTGATGAGTTGAAGTTAACAATTGGTAACTATAATGGTAGCACTGATGGAAAACTCAGGCACGTTGAGAACATGCTTAGGGAGGTAGGCTACCTGTGACTCTTCCTTCCTTAGCCTGCTAGTCTTTGCTCTATATGTACTGGAAAAGATTCTGTAATGCAATAGCAAACATTTATGCACTTTTGAGTGACTACACATTTTATAGACCTGTTTCATGTTACTGTTTTTATTCATACCATATTGTATAGATAATGTTTTCCATCCAAATGGGGGATTTACAACGTTTCATGTTTATTGCTGCAAAATGTTATATCATCATCTATTGATTGTAGCAGCACATAGGATTAAGCAAGATAGTCCATGTATGTTTGATTTGCTACTTTGGTACATGCTCTTCTGTCTCTTGTTCATTTTTTATAGTACATAGACCTGGATGTGCTCACTCACTGTTGGTCATTGTTGTTCAACAGATTTTTCATGCTGTGCTTATTAGAGTTAAGTTCAATTTTTTTGAAGTTGACTTGTTAGATGCAAATTAATTATTTTACTGGTTTCCCTCTCTCAGTACATAACTGCATATTTATTTGTTTGGATTTTAGAGGCTTAGCTTAGAAGATGGATCCAATCATACACAAATAAGATGATTAGGTTGTATCCTCGTGTTAGATATCATTAACATCCGAACCTTCTGTACCTTTGCTTTTCTTCTTACTTGTTTAAGTATTGTTGCTTGGTTAAGGACGCTCATGGGATATATTATCCTGTGTATTAGTCCTATGAATATATGGTTGTTGTAAAAGAAAAATGCAGCAAACTAAGCACTTTATTACTTGCAGGTCCAAGCAGGTGTGCAGATTTTGCGAGACAAGCAGGAAATTGTCGAGACACAGCTCCAGCTTGCGAAGCTCCAGACAACCAAAACTGATGCCCAGTCATCAGAAAATAGTGGGTCTGGACAGGCTAGTTCACAGCAGCAGCCGGTGGCTCCTCCACAAGCAGCCATTCAGCCACAGCAAGTCCTAACCCCTTCGCAACCACCTGCACTTCCTGCCCTTCCTGCTCCAAATGCACCACCTCCACCCCCAACGCTCCAAAGCCAACCACCGTCACAGTTTCCAAGTCATTTACAACATTCACAGGTACCATCTGTGCCTTCTGTTGCACCGGTTCCCTCAGTTCCGGCTTTACCAAGGGATGTTTACTATGCTCCATCTTCTCAGCCGACTGAAACCATGCACCAGCAGTATCAAGCTCCGCCAGTTCCACAGCCTCAGGCCCCTCCTGCACCTCAGCAGTATCAAGCTCCGCCAGTTCCACAGCCTCAGGCCCCTCCTGCACCTCAGCAGTACCAATCCCCATCCCAGTTCCTTCAATATTCACAGCCACCTCAGCCTGCAAATGTTAACCCTCCAACTCCCCATGTGCCCCCTGCACCCCAGCAACCAGAGGAAACTATGCCTTATGCACCGCCTCAGAGCTATCCACCTAATGCACGCCCTCCTCCACCTTATATGCAACCGTCTAGTGCACCTGCTCCTCCTTACTATGGACAGCAAAACCCTAGCATGTATGAACCTCCTGCAGGCCGGGCTAACCCTGGGGCGCCATCATCCTACGGTTCTGGTGGTTACGGGCCACAGGGTGGAAGTGGTTTCTCTGAATCATATGGTTACACTGGATCTCCTTCCCACCGCGGCAATGTTGGAATGAAGCCGTCTTCACCTTTTGCTCAATCCTCCGGGGGAAGTGGCAGCTATGGCAGTGGCAGGCTCCCCACGGCTCAAATACTACCACAAGCAGTGCCAATCAG